AACAATATATATATTAGCTGTATAATACCAGTAGGCCAGCTCTAATAGTAATTTGGTATGGCTTTGCGGCCCGCGAGCCAGAGTTTGACACCTATGGCTTAGTCAGTCAGGTTTGTCGTTGGCAAAATATAAAAGAAAGAATTACTCAAAATTTTTTAGAAATTACTGACAGTCTTTTTTTTCCAACAACGGATCTTTTTTATTCTTAAAATATGAATGTGAAATATGAGCTCATACCACCACCGTCTTTTGTGTCAATCGTTAACTAGTTGTCATCAAAATATATTATTTTTACATGCACAATATCTACTGGGAGCCAGTTTTAGTGAATTAAGGCTGCATGTAACATCCCCGAGAAGATCACTTTAACCTTAAAGTATATGCATCAAGCTTTGCCTACTTGTAAGACAGAAAGAAACTGATTAAGAAAAATTGTAACTGGACTGCTTTTTCCTACTCTCCCGGAGTACTCAAAGGACTCTATACAACATGCCACATTCACTTCCTTCTACACTCAAGTGCAATCTAACCAACATTAACACTCCGATGGACACATCAGAGAGCAACTTGGGGTTAGTACCTTGCTCAAGGACATTAGGCATGCAGACTGGGATCGAACCACTAACCTTCCAGTCAGTAGCTGATCTGCTCTACCGCCTGAGCCACAGCCACTGACAGGATGGGACAATGGGATTTCTGAATGTTACTGTCAGGTGTAACATTGTTTTACCTGTGAGCCTGTTCTTGGCCACGCTGAGCTCAGTGAGCGTCCTCTGCAGGTCGTCTCCTCTCCTGTTGGCCTCAGACAGCTGCTCCTCCAGCTTCTTCATCTGGCTGTCAGACGATGCCTGGGGCACAGTAACATCACAGCACATTAGGTCACGCCCATCACAAAAGTCTGTGACGTTGCTGTCTTGTTCAAAATACAGATAAGGTCCATGTGATCTCAGAGACTGACCTTGGCCTTCTGTAAACTGTCCAGTGAAGCAGCTAGGTCATCCACCTCCATCCTCAGGTTCTGCTTCTCCTTATCCAGTTTGGCTCTGGTCCTCTGCAGAGCTTCACACTGCTCTGTGAGCTCTGTGACGGCGTCGCTGTGCCGCTTCCTCAGAGACACAGCCAGAGCTTCAGACTGGGCAGAGGACTCCTCCAAGTCTCGTCTCAGGCGCTGCAGCTCTGCATCTCGCTTCTTGTTCACCTCCATCTGTTCGACACACACAGGAAGTAATTTAAGTTACATTTTCCAGGCAGTGCCCTGGAAATCTTCTTCGTGTACTAGCATTTAGCTGTACAATCTGGGATTATTTATGAGGGAAATTATGTAGTCCAGAAGTGTGCAGCTCGACAGTGTTTGTGTGCTGGTAGTTTACCTGTGAGGCGGTGACTCCTCCTGCTTCTTCAAGGCGATCTGTGAGATCATCCAGTTCTCTGGTGAGATCAGCTCTCTGCTTCTCCACCTGCCATAAACACAACAGTTAAAGAATGATAACGGACAACAAAATTATGCAATATAATGCAAAGATTTCTGGGTAAAAGTGCTGTGAGCTATCTGTCCATCATTATGGGATCTGAAACCCTTCATACTCTTTATACTTTGGCTCTTTACCTCACTTTGATTCACCCTTCTTCTTACTATGTTTTGGTTTGAACCACTCATCAGAAAATCTTGTGTTTTAGCTGCTAGTTGCTAACTTTGTCTGTTTGCTTTCTGCTGCTAATGGAGTGAAAATAGTGACTATAAAAATAAATGTAATAAAGCAACAATAATGGGCAAAAGGAAGCTAAAGGATTCAAACCAGAGAAACTCTACAGTTACCTCCCAG